CGAAAATGGGACTTAAACCCCATAGCTCTATTCATTGGAACCTTAGATTAGATGAAAATGGGCCTTAAACCCCATAGCTCTATTCATTGGAACCTTAGATTAGACGAAAATGGGCCTTAAACCCCATAGCTCTATTCGTTCGAACCTTAGATTAGACGAAAGTGGGCCTTAAACCCAATATTAATGGAATATAAAATTACACGACGTCGCGTAGGCCTAATGGTTTTAAAATGTTAGGTGTGTCTTAAATATTGGATATTAGGATCCCATTTTTTCATGGTTGAAATGGACCGATGTTGAATTATAAGTTGTGTTTTTAATTTCGAATATTATGGAGAATAATGAGTTAGAGGTTTACCAGTTGCCGCGTTAATGATCGAAACTTCCACTATTAATAGTTGTTTCGTTATTGACTAATTCTTTCAACATTACTAGTTGTTATTAATGACTGATCCTTCCACCGTTACTAGTTGTTTTTAATGACTGATCCTTCTACCGTTACTACTTGTTTTAATGACTTGTCCTTTCAACATTACTAGTTGTTTTTAATGACTGATCCTTCCACAATTACTACTTGTTTTTAATGACTTCTCCTTTCGACATTACTAGTTGTTATTAATGACTGATCCTTCCACAGTTACTACTTGTTTCGTTAATGACTTATCCTTTCAACATTACTAGTTGTTTTAATGACTGATCCTTTCACCGTTACTACTTGTTTTTAATGATCGATCCAACTTACTGGCTGTTTTAATGACTGATCCTTCCACATTAACTACTTGTTTTTAATGATCGATCCTTTCAACATTACTAGTTGTTTTTAATGACTGATCCTTCTACCGTTACTACTTGATTTTAATGATCGATCCTTTCAACATTACTAGTTGTTTTAATGGCTGATCCTTTCACCGTTACTGCTTGTTTTTAATGATCGATCCAACTTACTGGCTGTTTTAATGACTGATCCTTCCACATTAACTACTTGTTTTTAATGATCGATCCTTTCAACATTACTAGTTGTTTTTAATGACTGATCCTTCTACCGTTACTACTTGATTTTACTGGTTGTTTGTTCTAGTATTATTAGTAAATGGTCTATAACGAATATGTTGCGGTTAAAATAGCGTGAATTTCCTTACAGTGTCAAAGTTCATACGAATATTTTCTTACGTTACTTAGATTTTTATTTTTAAAATGCAATACTTTACTTATTTCTTGATTCTGTTTTACACGTATTCATATTTGGTATGGCTATTGCGGTTGTCACTGACTTATGGCAGTTTTTTTGTTTTTTTTTGTTTTTTTAAATTAAATTGATAACTGTATCATTCACACACCTCTAATCTAGCCATATTGTAAACCGCTGAATCATTTATTATGCAGTTATTAGTATTATGGGGATGGTGTGTGGTTTTATGACTTGAGTTGTGACGTTTCTGTTATTTAGCCGATGAAATTACACTATCGGGCACCGAGTAGAGGTGGGCGTCCCGGTGATGGGCAAATAGTCCTTATACTCCTCAGACAAAATAATTCTGGAACAACTACTAATTTACACATACTAATACACGGTGAAATGAAATAGGATTTAACAGCCTATTGTTCTGCACTAACTGGGCTGATGAGGAAAATTTTGCCGGGACAGTGACAATACGGCCTACTCTTGTATCGAATTCGAACTGCCAAGGGTTCGTTTACATGCACGCCAATGTGTACACGGGACTTAGTTTTTCGCCCCATCCGAACGACTATAAATGTTCTTTGCCAGGACTTGAGTCAACTGGCGTGGTTTCGAATCCCCGGTTGTAAGTGACAAGGAGTAGGGTCGCCTGTCCAACCTCGTGGGTTTTCTCCGGGTCCTCCGGTTTCCTCCCACTGCTAAAGACCCCTATGCGCAAGCGAATTTTGAAATAAAATTAAAACCATATGTTAGTCCTGAAATGACCTAGTTTGTATCGAGTGGACGTTAAACCCCTTCTCTCTCTCTCTCCCTCTCTCTCTCTCTCTCTCTCTCTTTGCCAGGGCCTCTGTTCCCCTGCACCACACACAAGGGGGGGGGGGCACACCGGGAAATCCCGATGAACCTTTTTAGCCAGCACTGGGATATAATACGGGACCTCCAGGTTAGCGAGCCTACGTCTTACTCACTGAGTCACTGCAGGTCCATAATACACGGTACCATAACCGATCGTCTTCATGCCTGCGTACACGGCTCTACAGCATCAATAGTAATGCCATAACATTAACCTTTGAGGCCATATTAAATCAATAAGACGATTGTGATGTGGGTTACTCAGGCTTTTTATATCTTGTTAAATCTACAAATAAAAATACTGACCTAGAGAAGGATGACTAGGTTTGTTTAGATCGACAGGACGTGTCTTTTCTGGTAAGGATATTAAAAAGAGTGTAATCATGCATGGCTTAAGAACACGGCCGATTGTTAGCTACGAAAAATGTGGAGCAAATTTATAAATGAACGGCTGTGTGTAATATGTAGGGACATACTGTGTTATGTATATAGCAGTGAGGGACCGCATGTTTCAGGTAAAAAAAATTCGGTGTAAATGTTATACCTGCCTTTTGATTTGTGGGGTCACAAGCGAGGGAGAGAGAGACAGACAGAGGTAATTTCGGGACTAACATATGGTTCAACGTTTATCTCAATACTTTGCGTGTGCTTAGATGTCATTACTAGTGGGAGGAAACCGGAGGACCCGGGAAATACCCACGAGGTTAGGCAAGAGACAGGGGCTATGAAACCCCCGACGAGGCGTGTGGGAGATGGCCGGGGTTAAAGTCAACTCGACACAAATTAGATCATGTCGGGACTAACATGTGGTACAATGCCGCTCAACTCACTCACATACCTCATGGCCTAACGCGGTGGCGTCAGATCCCTCCCCACCTCCCCCGAGTTGTAAGATAATATCAAGTACTCTGTCATGCACCGCGATGACAAGCCGGGAAGATTTTTATAAACTTCGACCGAGTTCTGTCTGGTGATCAAATGGAGTCGCGGTGGCCCGCTAACCCGAATGGGGCATTTGTGTGCACGTAAAATATCCCTTGGCAGTTTGAATTCGATATAAGAGTAGGTCATAGCGCCTCGGTCCGGGTAGAATTTCCTTCATAGCACACTGTATGGCGTAAGTCCGTATTTATTAGCCCATTCGGCGCAAAATAGTAGGACGTTAAACCCCATTTCATTTCTCAATTTCATTGTATGGATTGCCATATCTAACAAAATGCTTATATCTTTACAAGAAAAAAACGGAATTTTTGTAAGAAAAATCGTACCATATAATATTGTTAAAATCTAATCTATATGGGTTGTGAGTCGGAGCAGTAGGACCTTTAAACCAATTTCATTTCATTTTCTGACGATCAAATCAACAATCACTGCGCGTCCAACAAGAACAATTCGACAGATCATGTTAATGTGAACGCCCCTTGATCTTGAACTGAACCGGTTTTATCTTGCATTGATTATATTAGGTGAGTTATATTTAGACACATATAATAGTACATAGCGTACTGTAAACTAAGTGTACCAGCGTTTAACCGGTTTGGTAATTACTACTCTAAAGGGAACTAACTTCTAAATCGTTAAGTCCAACCTCGTGGGTTTTCTCCGGGTCCTCCGGTTTCCTCCCACTGCTAAAGACCCCTACGCGCAAGCGAATTATAGAAATAAAATTGAACCATGTGTTAGTCCCGTAATGACCTAGTTTGTGTCGAGTGGACGTTAAACCCCATTTCTCTCTCTCCCTCTCTCTCTAAATCGTTAAAACAATTAAACGGGTGCTCTGGCAGAATATATATTTACGGAGCTCCTTAACAGCACGACTCAACTCTGATATAATTATTTCGTGCACGATCCAATTCTTAATATTTCGTTATAACGAATTAATTATTTCGTTATAACGAATTAATTATTTCGTTATAACAAATTAATTATTTCGCTATAACGAATTAATTATTTCTTTATAACGAATTAGTTATTTCGTTAAAACCAATTTATACTAATTCGTCAAATTAGTTATTTCGTTATAACAAATTAGTTATTTCGTTAAAACAAATTTTTCGTTATAACGAATTAGTTATTTTGTTAAAACAAATTTAGTTTTTCTTTATAACGAATTAATTATTTCGCTATAACGAATTAATTATTTCGCTATAACGACTTAATTATTTCTTTATAACGAATTAGTTATTTCGTTAAAACCAATTTATACTAATTCGTCAAAAAAAAATTCGTTATAACAAATTAGTTATTCCGTTAAAAAAATTTTTTTCGTTATTTCGTTAAAACAAATTTAGTTTTAGGCTTACTTTAAAACGAATTAATTATTTCGCTATAACGAATTAATTATTTCGCTATAACAAATTAATTATTTCGTTAAAACGAATTTATACTAATTCGTAAAAAAAAATTCGTTATAACAAATTAGTTATTTCGGTAAAACAAATTTATTTTTTCGTTATAACGTATTAGTTGTTTCATTATAACGAATTAGTTATTTCGTTAAGACAAATTTAGTTTTTCTTTATAACGAATTCGTTACAACAAATTACTTAATTCGTTTAATCGATGTAACACGTGGACTACTGACCCTAATGCTTCACATTCACAATTTGAGAATAACATAGTTAACGTGGTGATTTTTTGAATTTGCGAATTCATTATTCGGTTCAAACAAATTCATTATTTCTTTATAACGATTCCACTCGTTTAAAGGAATTAATCATATAAGAGTGGAATCGTCCTCGAAAACATTATATAAGAGTGGAATCGTCCTCGAAAACATTATATATTAGCATGTTCCGGCTTCAATCCAAATCTTGTACATGCAAGCGAATAGTCTCTCGCTCGCTCCCTCTGACTTGTGAAATTCTGTGTGTGAGGTATTTGTATTTTACGTCCGATATCACCTCGGTGGAAGCGAACGTAAAATACAACTAACTCACACACAGAATTTCACCAGTCAGAGGGAGAGAGCTAGAGCGAGAGACTATTCGCTTGCATGTACAAGATTTGGATTGAAGCCGGAACATGCTAATATCTGGCTTATAACATACTTATAATCAACCATTTACGCGTTGAACACCTTGTCGGTAAATAGAGCATTCGAAAAGAACTGGGAATAATTTGAGAACCCCAATACAATGTAGTAAAAATAATAATGGGCAGACTTTGATATCTAGCCTTAGTTTTGGTGAGGTAATTTGTTCCGATTTGATTCCCATTGTCAAGCTAGTAGCTTGCGTTCCGTCGCGATTTGTGAATCACACACCGTTTAAACGGGGTATCACTTCACTTCTTCACATATATTCATTGGGTATTAGCGTCGGGAATAATATTAATTGAAATGAAATCGGGTTTAATCCCTACTTACATGGTTTTATGAGGACTGGTCCGGGCATACATTTGTGGTTTCAAAAGGAATCTTTCCGTACACCAGACTTTACGTTTTTGTATCATTCGAACGACTACTGTTTCCGCTAGGCGTCACCCGATCATTCACGACATGACAATTTATATTTATTTTTTTCATGTCGTGCAAAATATGTACTAACTAACCAAGGTAGAAAGAAAGATGGAAGTGAATAACTCAGCAAATGTGGATGCAACCATGAAGGATGTTGAAAATATCCCAACGGATGAATTACCAGATTCCGTGGTAAAACAAGAAAGTGACTGTACGCCATTGCAAGTTGATGGTTTCTCAGATTCCGTGATAAACCAAAAAAGTGACTGTACACCATGGCAAGCCGATGGACTCCCAGACTCAAAGTTGACCAACACAAATAACTTTAAACCGCCTGATGGTGGATGGGGGTGGTTTGTGTGCTTTACGGCATTGGTGGCCAATGGGACAGTCATTGCGATTATAAATACGTATGGAATTATATATGTTGCAATCGAAGACAAATTTTCTACCAAAGAACAAAGTATAGCTTTTAAAACTTGTAAGTAGACCATTTTGTTTTTCATGGTAAATTGAAGATAAAGAGCTGGTAGTTCTCACTATAATAGTTAAAAACTAGATAATGAAAAGGGAATTTGCTGAAAATTTCAGTCAAATTGATCCACTATGATCCGAGAACTAAGCGATTGAAATTTCGGCCTAGCCCCGATCATCATTACTAAAGTTGGTACGATAAAAACCATAGTCTCGATTATCCAATTCATGATTAAATCACGAATGAATGTTGTGCATCAGTTCGGGTCATAATTCAATAAATATCGCAGGCTATCGTTAACATCGAGAGTTGATTATGGTCTGTATGATTAAGTTAATTAACGTCTAATTAATAATTTAGATAACATTTCAGGCCTAAAGAAAGACCTGCAATAGGCAGATTTAGCTCTTTGCATAATGTATTTTTAATATGATTATTACAATGACATCATTATTAATGTGACGTCATAATGTATGTTTAAAGCCGAAGCGAATAATCATAAACCGGATGAATAAGGACACGTGGGAATTAATCAAACCCCAGATCGTCTGGTCCGGTGTGTGCTGTCCTCAACGCTTAGTTAGACTAGGGGGGGGGGGGGCGAATGGTTAGCACGTGCGCGCGCTGTATCATAAGACCTGTCATTGAGCCAACTGGCGTGGTTTCGAATCGGTTATACGTGACAAGGAGTAGGGTCGCCTGTCCAACCTGACAGGGACAGCTGTCCAGGCGTGCGGATGGAACGAAAAACCGAGGTCCCGTGTACACGTAATAGATCCGTTGGCAGTTGGAATTCGATATAAGAGTAGGCCGTAGCGCTGCTGTCCAGGCAAAATTTCACCCATAGCACACACTGTATGGCTTATGCCTGTCTTCATTAGCCCAATCGGAGCAAAACAGTAGGACGTTAAACCCCATTTCATTTCATTTCTTTTCATTTCTAACCAGGAATCAAGCCAAATACACTTTATAACCGATCATCGTAACTATACCACACTGCAACAACATAAAATGCTTCTTCATTTCAGCATTGGTAGGTTCCGTATTCACCACGATGACTTCCCTAATAACTACCCCACATTACAACAACATAAAATGTATTTTCATTTCAGCATTGGTGGGTTCTGTATGCACCGCAATGACATTCCTAATGTGCATTGTGGCTAGCATTCTCAGTGACAAAATTGGTATAAGGCAAACAGCGGCTTTAGGTGCTGTTCTTGGTATCATTGGACTCTTGGGAAGTGCTTTCGTGGAGACACTTGAAATATTGTATCTCACCTATGGAATATTCCTTGGACTCGGGTCAGCGTTTGTTTTGTTCCCATCTGTTTTTATATTAGGGCATTACTTTAGGAAGCATTTAGGCCTTGTAAATGGAATAGTAACATTTGGAGGAGGCGTATTTACGATTTGTTCCTCCCTTTCTTTTCCGATCTTATTCAAAAATATTGGCCTCAAATACACGTTCATAATACTCTCTGGATTTTATTTGATATCATTGGGATGTACATTAACCTGGAAACCCCTGCTACCAAAACAACCAGATACCACAACAGGAAAGGAAGCCGACACAGGTGAATCGAGTTGTTGCAGATCTCTAGTAGGTTATCTAAATATGGGAATATGGAAGAATAAAGATTATGTGGTGTGGTCTTTATCAGTGTTTCTGTCATTGTTTGGATATCTCGTGCCTTTTTATCACTTGGTGAGTTTCTTTAGGTCTCTTTTGTTTTAATATCCTCTATAGAAATGAAATGGGGTTTAACGTCCTGGGGATCGCGTGGCTAATCGGGGAAGACGCTGGCTCGCTAGCCTGGAGGTCGGGTGTTCTATCCCTGCATTGGCCGAGAAAGTTCATCCAGAACAGAGGGCCTGACAAGGACAGCTGTCTAGTCGTTAGGATGGACGAAAAACCGAGGTCCCGTGTACATATTGGCGTGCACGTAAAAGATCCCTTGGCAGTTGCAATTCGATATAAAAGTAGGCCGTAACGCCGCTGCCCGGGCAAAATTTCCCTTATAGCACACTGTATGGCGTATGCCCGTCTTCATTAGCCCAGTTTAGGAGCAGAACAGTGGGACGTTAAACCCCATTTCATTTCATTTCATTTCGTTTAACGTCCTACGGTTCTGCTCCGACTGGGCTAATGAAGACGGGGCATCGTGTCCCTATAGACCACGCAAGGTTGCTTCTATCGGTAGTTAAAGATACGATTCTGAATGTTTTTAAAGCAACGAATAGCCCCCCTGGGCCTGCTTAGGAGCTCACATCGCTCCCCAGAACTCTAGCTGGTTTAGCTGCGACCTGCGGCAGCTACTATCCACACTGACACGTTTTTAAAAAAGAATGTTGCCCCTATTACTACTACATTTGTTTTAGCATAATTTAACTAGTTTGTATACATGGACACGCACCATGCAGCGTCTTTCGCCAAAATGACAAATCAACAGAAGCTACGTATGGGATGGTCAGCACGTATCCGAAGTTTGATCTCTCATCACGCGGGTATATGCGAATTTTGAAAACTCTAGTTGGTCTGGGAACATGCGACCCTACTCCTTGTCACGTACAACCGGGGAAACGAAACCACACCAGTTTACCCAATGACAGACCTTATGATAAAAGGCGCACGCGCTAACCATTCGGCCACCAAATCCCCCCAATCTCAGAAAGTAAAATATAATAAAATATGTATATATTTTGACTCTTCTTTTCTTTGTTACAGCCTAAGTATTCCGAACAGTTGTTTCCTGGGTCTAAGGGCAGTTATTTAGTTTTGTGTTTGAACATTGCATCATGTGTTGGCAAACTTGTGTGTGGAAAACTGGCTGATCTACCTTGTGCTAATCGCGTCCGGATGCAGCAAGCAGCTTTTGGTGTGGTGGGTGTGGTGACTATGTGCATACCTTTAGCTGAGCATTATTACAGTTTAATAGCAGTAAGCTTAATCATTGGAGCATGTGATGGCTTCTTCCTCTGCTTAATTGGACCTATAGCTTTTGATTTGGTTGGACCAATCGACGCTTCACAGGCGATAGGTTTCGCATTTGGAATGGCAGCAATTCCGTTGTCTGTTGGACCTCCAGTTGCAGGTTAGTGGTTAAGTCGAAGTATCCCAATGATTTGTCTCAATTTTTAAAAGACTTTTTAAAAGAAGATAAATCATATATACAGCGAAAGTAAAGCACTGATGTCGTTGAATCCCAATATGTGTTGAGAAGAACAATCACAGAAATTATATTGGGAAGTGCTATTTTTTCCCGCACTATGATGATCTTTGCTCGTCCGTAATTATACTCTTCAAAAAAAGTAGGGGATATTGAAATGCAAATACCTATGCAGGTTGTGATATGATAAATAGTCATGGACACTTGACATGATTTGAGAATATGTTCACAGATGAAGAACTTATCGCCCCAACAGAACCACTGAGCTGCACATGCGACTTTCAATAGCGCCATACACGTGGGAGGGGTTCATTGTCAAATTTGACACTTCAAGGAAGGGTTGATGAAAACTGCCGCGTGCTGGTTTATCTATCCATGTTTGCTTTCCTATCGGTTCTTGCATAATATTTACTGTTTAGCGTATCTTTGCTTTAGTGTGTTACGTTTAATTTGATCGGAAGACGTGTTCGTCGACGTCAACGTCAACCGACAACACTGCAAGAATTGACCGTGGCACTGCAAGAGGGGTGGGTCTGATTGCCCAAAATCGTTATAGGACGGTTGATTAGGAGCATGCCACGACGAATTGCTGAATTTCTGAGGTTGGTGGAGCAATTACTCATTATTGAGACCAAAATCAAAACGTTCATTTTCACTCTTGACGGTGTATCTCTTTGCGAGTGGAATGGGGCCGTCAGATAAGCCGCCCATATGAACTGTTTATGTTCATGTGTAGGCAATTGACCTGTTATTAACATACACTGGTTACCTGTAATAAAACAGCAGTGCATTTCTGCAGTTTTGTATTGTTTCTGAATATCCCCTACTTTTTTTTAAGAGTATATAATATTTGCGCGGCAATCATATCAACAATAGTCAAATCCGAATTTATGCCAAAATATTTTTCATGGTCGTGGTGGGGTGGAAATGTATTTAAGGAGCCAATTGAACAGGGTTGATATAGTATGTAATTTAATAATGTTCCAGTTCCTAGAATTGTGTTTTAACATAGCTTATAAAACTGTAACGGTAAATCTCTTTGATCTTTGGGTATATTCTATGCTGCGAATAACTTGAGGTCTGAAAGTTGGAGGCGGCTTTGGATATATACTGGGGAATTTGGGGTTATTCTTCTGAAAGTTTTTCTTTAAACCTGTAACAGGTTATTCTTTCAGGGTAGGGTTTTTTTTCCATAAGAAAAAACTCTTGACAGAAAAACCTCGGTTTTTCTTTTTCTCGGGTTATTTTCTTCAGCCTTTCTTTATCCTACACATAACATCTTTATGTAACATATGCCCTTTAAACCTATTTTTACAGGTGCTCTGTATGATAATTTAGGATCGTACCCTATTGCCTTTCATTTGGCTGGTGTTCCGCCCGTAATAGGAGCTTTGGGGATGTTCTTTGTTAAGAAGGTTAGTAGTTATATCAAATTCCAATTGCCAAGGAATCTTTTACGTACATGACAATTTGTGCACGGGACTTCGGTTTTTCGTCCCATCCGAAGGACTAGACAAAATTGTCCTTGTCAGGCCCTCCGTCCATCTGTCAAGGGATCTTTTGCGTGCACGCCAATGTTTACACGGGACTTAGGTTTTTCGTACTATCCGAACGACTAGACAGCTGTCCTTATCAGCCCTCCGTCCTTTACGAATGACAAGGGGACCCCAATCCGTTACTTCTTCGTATTAACGGACCTCTAATGGAAATAGTCTGTTAGATTTATTAGTCATCTACTAGAACGTCTTGTGGGCGAAATGAACTGAAATGGGGGTTTAACGTCCTACTGTTCTGCTCCTATGCTGGGCTAATGAAGGCGGGCATACGCCATACAGTGTGCTATGAGGGAATTTTTGCCCGGGCAGCGGCACTATCGCCTACTCTTATATCGAATTCCAACTGCCAAGGGATCTGTTACGTGCATTCCAATGTATACACAGGAACTCGGTTTTTGGTCTCATCCGAACGACTAGACAGCTTTCCTTGTCAGGCCCTCCGTCCTGCATCACTGACAAGGGGGAACCACGCCGGAAAATCTGGATGAACTTTCTCGGCCAATGCAGTGATCGAACAACCGACCTCCAGGCTAGCGAGCCAGCGTCTTACCCACTTAGCCACGTTATCCCCGTCTGGAGAACGAACTTTCGCAATAATGGTCGGATAGTCAAGTGTATGGGTCGTTTACTATATAAAACTAGCAAAGAGTCTGAAAAACGAATTGCCTTATTAATGGATGCTCGTGATAACGGGTTGGCCTATGTGCGGGATTTTAACTGTGTATTTAATGCGGGGGATCACGGTGGCTAAGTGGGTAAGACGCTGGCTCGCTAGCCAGGAGAGAGAAAGGAAGAAATGAAGTTTACCGTCCACTCGACACAGACTAGGTCATTTCGGGACTAACATATGGTTTAATTTCATTTCAATAATTTGAATGCGCGTAGGGGTCTTTAGCAGTGGGAGGAAACCGGAGGGCCCGGAGAAAACCCACGAGGTTGGACAGGCAACCCTACTCCTTGTCACATACAATTGGGGATTCGAAACCATTCCCCCCCCCCCCCCCCGCTAGCCTGGATGTCGGGTGTTCGATCCAGATTTTCTGACGTGGTTCTCCCTTGTCAGTGATGCAGGATGGATGACCCGTGTACATATTGGCGTGCACGCAAAAGATCACTTGACAGTTGGAATTCGATATAAGAGTAGGACGTAGTGCCGCTGTCCGGGCAAAATTTCCCTCATAGCACACCGTATGGCGTATGCCCGTCATCATTATCCTGGTTTGGAGCAGAACAGGAAGACGTTACATCCCATTTCATTCGAAGGTCGATTTAATAGACCGCAGGATGGTTCAAAAGTACCCTAGCTGCTGCAAAGGTCGATTATAGCCATTTAAAATGGTTACGCGGTGATGGTCGTAAAGATGGGTTGGATTTTAGAGGAAGGGAGACAATATTTTACGTCATAGTTTTAATGGTCGACGTCTTGTTTGGAGACATGGTGAATTACGAATAAGGTTTCAACAGAGACAGACGTGTCTGGTTCGTGTAGACTGTTCAAGCTAGAGATCATTACATGTCTGGTTCGTGTAGACTTGCAAGCTAGAGATCGATACATGCCTGTTTCATGTAGACGGTTCAAGCTAGAGACCGTTACATGCCTGGTTCGTGTAGACTGTCACATGTCTGGTTCGTGTAGACTGTCACATGTCTGGTTCGTGTAGACTGTTTAATCTAGAGGTCATTAAGTTATATTTATAGCACGGCTTTCATGAGTTAACAGGTTTTACCAGAGGCCGAAGGCCGAGGGGGTTAAACCTGTTAGCGAATGAAGCCTGCTATAAATGACTTGTAACATTGACAACTGCTCAACATGCTTATTGTTATTGCACAGAAAACCCACCCCACTTCTTTATATGATTTTTACTAAAACTAGTGTAAACCAGCAAAAGTGTGCAATAACATTGAACATGTCTAGTTATCGCACGGTTAAGCTCCACCCAATCTACTAGAGGGAAAACAGTCTGCTTATTCAACGAAAAGAAGATTTCACATCCATGTTATAACAATAGGTATGGAATATGTATTGCGCTCAGCAATTCGATACCAGCTCTGTGGTATAGTATCCTAATCTGTGACACATGAACTGTAGCGATCTATTCAGTTAGTCAATGGGTAAGCCGTTACCTATAAATGTGTATCCTTCATTTTAATTCAATTATATCTTGTCTGCGATATCACCTCGGTGGAAGAGGACGTAAAACACTACTAACTCACGCATTTAATTCAATAGAAACGTAATACCGAACTCAGGAAGGAAAATAAATGACAATTCAATGAACTTTTCCACCCTTGCAAATTGTTTAAATTTTTTCCCGTAAGTAGAATTCATCATACAAGGGAAGTATCCATCCTCTAATATTAAAGATACATTATGGGAGATTCGATAACGAGTTGGCAGTTCTCACTATAATAATTAAAAATTAGATAACGTAAAGGGAATTTGCTGAAAATTTCATTCAAATTGATCCACTATGAACCGAAAACTAAGCGAATGAAATTTCTGCCTAGCCTCGGTCATCAATACTAAAGTCCGTACGATAAACAGCATAGTCTCGATTATCCATATAATCGAGACGGAAAGTTATGCAGTAAATCGGCTCACAATCCACTTAAGATCGTAGGCTAGTGATGTGCCATCTAGAGTTGATTATGATCTGAATAAGTTAATTAATGTCTAATTAATAATTTAGACAACATTTCAGGCCTAAAGAAAGACCTGCAATAGACAGATTTAGCTCTTGCATAATGTATGTTTAATAAGATTAATACAATGACGTCATTATTAGTATGACGTCATAATGTATGTTTAATCAAAGCCGTGTATAGATAAAGTTGCGACAACTGTGAAGCCAGAAATTTCATATGATGTCATGAAAATATGACGTCGTCAAGTGTACAAAGACGCCATCTTGGGTGCAAGTAATTGTACCTACTCACTATCTATTTTATGTTCTATCATACTGTTGTGTCAAAGTTGCCTGCTCCGACAGGGATGTGGATAGATATGTCATAGAATTCCGCGAAAAAGAGTCTATAGGAGATAAAACATACATTTTTTAAAAGAAAAGTATAGCTAAACGTACTATTATTGTTATTATACAACACAAAGCGTACATTATTGTTATATTATAGCCTAATTAATAAGAAAATGAAATGAAAGATACATCAGATAAAAGCGCTATTAAATATTTTAACTTGCATACGCTTTTAAAAATCAGATTTTTTGTGCAGGCTAGTAGGCTAAAGTGAAAAATATAAATAATAATTTGGGAGATAAAACCATTTTGCCTTCTAGCCAGAAAAATAAGCGCCTGAAATTCCATGATTTTATGGCCTGGAGCCATCCCGGATTGTGTGTCATTAATTCTATCATCAAGCTTTCGAAAATTGAAATTCATTTAAATTGACTGATGGATAAAACATTTAAAATTAGTGTAACTTAAAATCAGTGTAATTTAAATAAAAGGTGTCTAGCGCCACTCTGATGTATAAAACATTTAAAATTAGTGTAACTTAAAATCAGTGTAATTTAAATAAAAGGTGTCTAGCGCCACTTTTTGTTCAATCTATAAAAGCATACATTCCTACAAAATGTTTTGTTTAGTCAAGTGAAACAAGAAAATTTAAAGGCTAAAAGGAAAACCTACGTACGACTCTATGAAATAAGATATTTTAATAATATGATTCAACCGAAAGGTACATACATGTATATGCAATGTAGATGATTAATATCTACATTCAAGTTAAACCAACTGTGTCTATATATTTTTTAAGTTTTACGTCGAGCTGAATAAAGTATATGAATTGAATTATTGTCATAAAAACATCTATGGGTGGTTAACAGTGTGTACCCAGAATTTTTTACAGGAAGTCTATTGCATCCAGGTATTTTAAGCATGTTAACAATATATTCATTTAATTTAAGAGAAACTATGTCATTTCGCGATGAACATATCGTACAATTCATATTCATTTGACGATCGACCTCCTATTTACAAGACTATGGATTATCCTAACTACAGTGTAAACATGGTTTAGAGACTCTATCTGAACTACAGGGTACATCATGTTTTAGAGACTATAGACAGGGTAGATTATGGATTATAGACTCTATCTGAAGTACAGGGTACATCTAACTAAAGGGTACACCATGGTTTTGAACCCAATATTGAATTCAGTAACCGTAAAAACGTTATTACAAGCAATATCCACAAGGCCAGGCCTCGCCATTTTGGTTTCTATTTTGACTGTCGTTTTATATTTACACCATCTGGACCATTCACAATTAGTTGGTTTTATTTTAAATAGAACCCAACAACCACCAAACCCATATATACGACATATTACAAGTCATACCCACCGAAAAAAAAAAGACGATGAATTAAAATTCAACCATTTTGGATTTCATTTTGCCGGCCACTTTGAATTTCTACCTCCAAGAATTCTCTAAATTTATTTTGAAGATTATCGATGCCCCTTTATTACCAAATTAATGTTTTGTTTTTTTTTCTTTTTAAGTGGTATTATATTATCAAATTTGGCAGTCATTTAGAAAGAAATGCGCGCCACCAAATGAAATGGTGTGTGTCAAGTTCGATTTTTCAGCACATTTCGCTTGCATAACCACTCTGTGTTTGAGGAATTTAAAAAGAAATTATTTATCCTTCCACCACTGAAAGACACCGATTACGCGATATCGCTCTCCGATAATTCCTGAACAACGTCAAATTGTATTATGTTAATCATGTCATTTTGCCATAGCCGATTTTGAGTATGATTTTGTCTGACATATTTCTCATTGAACCAAACTGCATTGATTTCTTTTGTAATTTGTTTAGGATAAATTGTAGCCTGTAAAACGTTATACCAAGAAAAAAATAAAATGTTTTGTTAAGTAAAGCTATATGACGCCATGACGTCATAGTTTGTATGGCGTCATAGTTGGGGCCCAAAATGGCGCCTGTAAATGAGTTGTCGTAACTTTCCCTATACAGGGCTTTGTGTTTAAAGAGACATAACCCTTTCTTGATTTAAAAAACCTTCCGCCTGCATGGTACCCTAGTATAAGCGAATGAAATTTCTCCCTAGTGTCGGTCATCATTACTAAAGTCAGTAGGATAAAGAACATAGCCTCGATTATCCATTTAATCGTTTAATCGAGAAGGAAAGTTATGCAGTAAATCGGCTCACAATCCACTTAAGATCGTAGGCTAGCGATGCCATCTAGAGTTGATTATGATCTGAATAAGTTAATTAATGTCTAATTAATAATTTAGATAACATTTCAGGCGTAAAGAAAGACCTGCAATAGACAGATTTAGCTCTTGCATAATGAATGTTTAAATTACAATGACGTCATTATTAATGTGACGTCATAATGTATGTTTAATGAGAAATAACCCTTCCCGCTTTCTTGATTTAAAAAACCTTCCGCCTGCATGGTACCCGAGTATAAAGTCAAACACGTCGAAAATTTCTTGAATTGGTAGATGAATGCCGATAAGAGAGGAAGAGATGGGGTTTAACGTCTACTCGACACAAACTAGGTCATTTTGGGACTAACATATAACCATACTCCTTGTCATGTACAAACGGGGAATCGAAACCACGCCGCTTGACTCAATGACAGATCTTATCGTTAAACCCCTTAAACTACAACAATGGCGGATTTACAGAGTGGGCTCAGAAAGATTTTACAGAAGCATGCAGTTTTTATTGGATACTTATAGTCTCCTATTGTGTCACTATTTCTTGGTGGTTGGATGGCCGAATGGTTAGCGTTGTATCATAAGGTCTGTAATTGAGTCAAATGGCGTGGTTTCTATTCCCCGGTTGTGGAGTTGCCTGTCCAACCTCGTGGGTTTTCTCAGGGTCCTCCGGTTTCCTCCCACTGCTAAAAAACCCCTACGAATTATTGAAATAAAATTGAACCATATGTTAGCCCCGAAATGACCTAGTTCGTGTCGAGTGGACGTTAAACCCCATCTCTCTCTCTTCTCTCTATCTCTCTCTCTCTCACACTATTTATAAACACGGTTCAATAATTAATGACATTACGCACTCCACGCACCCCTTCTCAAAATGGATAACATTTGTTTAGCCCAATATGTTATTGATGATGAGATGTTAGATATCCAATGGAATTTCCTGTACTTCTGTTTCAGAAACCAAGACCACTAGCCACCCAGAGTGAAGAACAGATGAACATGTTAACAGAACTATAGCACACACCAAATAAATATAGCAATAAATTACAAAAACAATCTGTAAAATAAAGCCTTCGATCGATTATTAATGCTTTGTTTCCTGTCCTGTATAGCTATCGAACTTTAAAGACCAGGGCCCTGTTTCACGAAATTTTAACTAAAGATAAAATCCAAATTTTAGTAGATACTTCAATTTTGATTGGCTAAGCACTAAAATCAATCTAATATTATCCAATCAAATTACTAAAATTTGGATTTTATCTTAGTTAAAATTTCGTGAAACAGGCCCCAGGCCCCAAGTTCACAAAACATTCTCAGACTTAAGTTAAGAATTTACTCAAAATTGTTTGTCTTATTTTAACTAAAATATAGCCCTTTATAAAACTTTTGTTGTTTTAATGTATCAAATACATCAATTAGAAACTATGTACAAAGTTTTGTGTTTCTGGATCAAAGATATTTCTCATAAACAGTGATTGAAAGTTGAGTAAATTAGTAACTTAAGTCTGAGAATGCTTTGTGAAGTCGGGGCCAGATTACATGATTTTTGTTTTTGTTTCAATACTCTCCAGGCGCAGATCCAGAGAAGGGGTCTTTGCTCCCCCCACCCCACCCCCCATCCCCCTTGCTCAGCTACATAAAGAAATTGCAAAACAACATTTTTTATGAGAAAAGTGAGTGTAACGGTCGAGTGGTTGTATCCTTTATCGTGATATATATTTTTTATAATAATTAATGCTTTGCGTCAACGAAATTGAATCACAGTATGATCCTATCAATTTATCATCAAAATTGACGTCAAACAGGGGTGATTGATTTCTCCTTTTAAAATGTCCAGTGTGTATGTATGCCTACGTAATTTGGGAGATGGCATCATGCATTTGTCAACTTTTAAATTTCCTTAACAGGTACCTGGCAAACCCCCTTCTGCAAACATATCTGGACCCGCCCCTATTTTCGGTGTTGATTGTTAAAGCTAGATGATGCGTAGGATTGTCCCTAAAGGTCCATTCATACTACATCCGTATCCGTATCTGTAAATACGTGCGTGAATACGTACTGGTATTTGATGGTTTACAATCTAGATCACTTGCTTCAATCTCATCTATACAAACGTTTGACTTTTCTACTTTGTTCACTAAAATTCCCCATAGTAAATTAAAAGCTCGGTTAAAAGACATTATTCACAGTGTCTTTTCATCTAAATCAGGAAATGTTAGATATCAATATTTAGTTGTTAATTACAATTCCACATATTTTGTCAAGAACCATAGTGATTCCAAAAATAAATTCACTGCCAACAAGATAATTCAGATGTTGGATTTTTTAATTGATAATATCTTTGTTGAATTTGGAGGGGAAATTGATCAGCACTTTGTAGGTATCCCCATGGGCACCAAATGTGCACCTTTGCTTGCTGATTTGTTTCTCTATTCCTACGAAGCCGATTACATACAGGCACTTGTAAAATCAAATAAACGATTAATCAGGCATTTTAATTTTACTTATCGATATATCGATGATGTTCTATCACTGAATAATCCAAAATTTAGTGATTATGTAGAATTCATATATCCTGATAAGCTCGAAATTAAAAACACTACTGACGGTGACAATTACGCTTCCTACTTGGATTTGCGTCTCGATTTTGACAATTGCCATAAACTTAGTGTTAAATTGTACGATAAACGTGATGACTTTGACTTTCCGATTGTTAACTTTCCATTTATTAGTAGTAACATTCCAATATCACCAGCTTATGGAGTGTTTGTGTCTCAACTAATTCGTTACGCGAGAGCTTGTTCATTTTATTCTGATTTTTTAAGTAGATCGAGGCATTTGTCATCTAAGCTTCAACTACAGGGATACTTGCGAACTAAACTTATTAAAACCTTTAAAAAGTTTTATGGCCTTCATATTGATTTGATTGGTAAATGTAACATGTCTCTCTCGGCTATTATTCTAGATATATTTAATTGACGTGTATACTATCTCCCTGAGAATGTCTGTCTCCTACATCGTTAACACTGTTCATCATGTGCATTTTGCATACCGATAGTTCATTGGCCAATCACGCTATTTTACCGGGATTTCGCCGAATAGTTTGGATGCAGCTATGGCGGGTGTGGCGCCAGGCAGGGTAAGCTTACTCTTCCGGACACCTGTTACCACTGTTTGTCGTGTATTTTGTACACGGTGAACAGTCCATATGCTGATTACACTATTTTGCCTTATTACACTATTTTGCCTATACCGTTTTTTTAGGACTTCGAATTTTGTCTAATGGTTTGGATTGTTCGTACTTGGTTTTATTTTATTTTAGTCATTTTTAGAGAAAGGGTTCAAATAGAATCCGGCACGTATTGCGCACAAAAACAACTGCGTCCGTTAAGCCGGATTGATTGCTCCCAGAGCGTATTTTTGTAAAATGCGTCCGGCATTTCGGCTAGTGAGCCGAGCTTTAGCCAAACAGCGAGTACTTTCCCCTTATTACATCATCTCCCCAAATAGAAACTCAATCTCTGACAGACAATTCAGCCTTGAAAGCCGGACGTTTTCGCGTTTTCTATTTGAACGGCAAAACGCGGATACGGATGCGGGTGCGGATACGGATACGTGGAAACTAGTTGCCACTTCTAGTAGTGTAACCTGTCTGATGCACTCAGACAGTATAATGTTGCATATAAATAGTTTACACCCGTGGGTGTAGATTAAGCATTATCCCCTCAAGGATGGTTTGAAAATTACACTTCTATTTTAATTATTACACCAACGCGTTTTGTTAGATATTTATTTCAAGCCAACGACTTCTAAGTTCAGAAAACTTGATATTGGTTATCGGTCTCTATTATAATTAGTATAGGGCGTTTAGCCCGACCCAGATTACATAAAGACCGTCGGCTACTTTGCTTCATTTTACAGCGACAGATCCCATTTCGTTTCGTTTTTATAGTTCAAAATTTCGTTTTACTTGTCTTTGCTATATTAGGATCTGGAAGAGTTGTTATCGTTGACGTGTTCTGAAAGGTGTGAGAGATTAGCCAACGAAACGGTCTGTTACGGCGAGCTTTAGGCGTGATCTGCTCGGAACTGTGTGTAATCCACTAGTAACATCAATGCTGATTGGCTAATCAAATGTCTGACGTCATAGGGTCAAAAGCCGCTCTTATGACCTCTGACGCGACCTATCGCTACAACCGGTCAGATCTGCATATAGTGTAGGCCTTCGAAAGTATAAAAAAACGAAACGAAATATAGATCTGTATTTTAATCAGATTGTTACCATACAAAATAAAACAACTTTGCGCATGCACAGTTTATTCTCTCGACACTCCTCTCCCCTTTTTTTATGAAAGGAAACACTAGAGCTTGTGTCTCATCATCTACTATTGAAGGATTGATCTCGTTTTCACCCACTAATACCCTGCATATCTATAGGCACTAATTTCGATTGGCTACTGACAGATCTCTATCACAGACCTCCCGTCAAAAGTCAAAGTCTAGTAACTCACTTTTTTTTTTTATCAAAATTGAGTTAGGACCAAATTTGTAGTTACTGGGTATGTGCTTCCCGTTGTTGTACTAGATATTCCAATCTTTTGATTTTGTAAGCAGTTACACCCATGACACAACCTAGCAACTTCTTTCATTTGCCTAGTATACCACAGAAAAACCTAATAACTCAATAATCAAATCAAAGATTAAGCTGGGGTTTAATATTCATTCATTACGTTTTACTTTGTTTTCTCAAAATAAGAAAAACGTGAGTTACTAGGTGTTGCCTTTTGACGGGAGAGATGGGGCAACGTGTGGCAACCTCTTGCTTACCATGGAAAACCCTTTTCTTCGATTCTACATCAAAAAAGTCAACCAAAATCGCCATGAAAAAGGGGGGAAAAGGGAAAGGGGCAGAAAGACTAAAAATAGCTTTCGCCCTTGACGGTGTATAGGGATGTTTGGTGGGCTGTGTGTATTTTGATTTAATAGAAACTCGAAACCGAACGCAGTTCAAGTATAACAGGAAGGAAAATAAACGACACATCAATGAACTAGTCCACCTTTGCACATTGTTTAAATAGTTTCCCGCAAGTAGAATTCCCCATACAAGGGAACTGTCCAACCTCGCATATTAATGGGAGATAACGCTTTCCGCTTTCTTGATTTAAAAACTCTGTAATCTACCGGAGTATAAAGTCAAACACGTCGGAAATTTCCTGAATTGGTAGAGGAATACGGATATGAGATAGAGAGAGAGAGAGAGAGAGAGAGAGAGAGAGAGATGGGGATTAACGTCCACTCGACACAAACTAGGTCATTTCGGGACTAACATATGGTTCAATTTTATTTCAATAATTCGCTTGCGCGTAGGGGTCCTTAGCCAGGGGGAGGAAACCGGAGAAAACCCACGAGGTTGGACAGGCGACCTTACTCCTTGTCACGTATAACCGGGGATTCAAAACCACACCAGTTGACTCAATGACAGGCCTTATGATACGTGCTAACCATTCGGCCATCGAACCCCCCAATACCGATATGAGTTGGTATGATGGAATATTGTCGTTAACTGTCTCTGGACCTTAAACTATAATTCTGGCGCATACATTTAACAGTTCCTATTTATATCTGACGGAAATTTTTAAGTGTAGGATAAAGAACGTGACTGAAGTTATGCTGGGGAAAGAAACACTGACGAAAATAACCCGAGAAAAAGAAAGAAAAACCGAGGGCGGCAGGCCGAGGTTTTACTATCGAGGGTTTTTCTGAAGTCTTTCTTCCCGAACATAACACAAGTCGAGGACTTTATCTTGCCTATAAACCGTCTGTCTGGAAGAATAACCCGTTACAGTTTTTAAAAAAACTTTCAGAAGAATAACCTCAAATTCCCCTGTATATATCCAAAACCGACACCCGACTTTGAAACGGTAAGTCATTCCAGGCATAGACTATACCCCAAAGATCAGAGAGATATAGGTTTATAAGATAAGGTAATTTTTTATTTTAGTTAAAATTAGTGTTTGATATTCAATAGACTTCCTTTCTTTCTGTTTTAGAAACCAATAGCCACCCAGAGTGGAGAACAAATGACTAT